GTCCTTGGTCTTGAGTTAGGATTTTTCTAACAGAAAATAATTTGCTAATTTTCGTGATTTTTACGAATTTTGTCAAAATTCTAAAATCAAATGCTCATAAAAATGTATTGTGGATTTATGATCAGCTTATTTTTTAATGACCAATTAAAGTAACACTAAAAACCATGGTGTTTTTCGAAAACTGGTTTTGAGTAAAAATTCTCGTTTTTCCTTGATGTTTTGTTTGTTTTTCCTGTCGATTTTGAAAACTAACAGGAATTTCAACTTCTCGAATGCACCAACTAGATTCACTTTCATACCAGGAAAGTTGCTGTTGTAGAAAATCGAAGCACTCTTACAGCCCAAACTGTGATGACAGACACAAAGAAAACAAAAATAAAAAAACACACATCATTGTAAAATCAATACATATTCATCTCTCCGCTCAGAATCTAAAAATACAAACTGTACACATTTACAATATAGCATCTTAAAATTGTATGTTCTAGATTTTTGGGTGGGCTACGGCTAAGTTTGGGTGGCTAAGCCCCCCCCCCCCCAAATTTGCGCCTATGCGGCGGTGACCCACCAAGAATGAAGAATTACATTAATATGTATAATATGTATGGTGGCTTTAATCTTATTTTTTAGTTATTGGACGAGAATAAAATAAATATAAAATACCTAGGTACCCATTATATATATATTATATAAGCATAAGTTTATGTTATACAGAGTGATAAATATTCAATAAACAGCCTCATCTTTTTTTTTATAAAAATCCATTTATTTAAATTAAGGTTTTTTGAATTTTTAAGTACACTTAGAAACTAGATTTTAAAATACTTAAAATTATTGTATGTCATTTAAGGAATATCCTGTGTGAGGCGGTACCAACATTCAAAATGAGAACCACTTTTCTTGGTTTTTTTTGTATATTGTAAATTGTATATTAAAGTATTAAACTCAATTTTTATATTGACTTTTTTGTAAGATGTTGATCTATAAAAATACAAATTAAATGCTGCTCGTTGGTAATCGCATCATTTTAGAACGGCTGGACCGATTCATATATTTTTTTTCAAATGTCCGTAACACTCCGAGTAAGGTTGTTGTAGAAATAAAAATTGGTAAACTTTGAGAAAAACTGAAAATTATGGAAATCGAAAATTTGTTTTTGTTTTCATTTGTTACTTGCATGAGATAAAAGCACGCACTACGTTTGTGGCCTCAGATAAATACAAATTTATCTTAAAACAAATATGAGAGTTTATTATGTGTTGTTGTACCTAGCTTACATACCTATTTAAAAACTGCTCGAATAATTTTGAAAAAATTTAAAATCATTATTAGAGATATCAGGAAAGTTTGGATAGTAGTTTGAACTACGTCGAATTCAAACCAAATACTATATAAAATCAGCCACAGATGAATTGTCTATCTTGGTAGAATTAGTTCACAAAACGAGGTACCCCAACCCCAATTGCCACTGAATTGAGCTTACCAATACCAAGATCCTCCTACATAATATAAGAAGCGCTAAATTTTATATTTTTTTTAGGGGGGAAGTCGGGTTATACAGCTAAAAATGAACTCAAAACAGGGCGGTTTTCTACAAAAGTTATACTTATAGATTCCTTGATACTTAGAAGGTGTTAATAGATTATTTTTTCAACCCTGCAAATAAAGGGTAGCTTATAGTTATAGCTGATATTATAGCTCATACATGATTTTTTTAATTCAGCTCACGACTCTTTTGTTTATTTAAATGGTTGCCATTGGTTACATATTTTATTACTATTATAATTACCTAGCAAAAATATTGGTATATACATAGTTTACAAAAATATTTATAATAAAACAAATCTTTGGCAAGGACAACGCCTATTTAGTGTAACTATAATACATTTTGAGCTAGATATAATAATTGAAATCTGAACTAGTAGTTTTTGAGTAAATTAACTTATATTTGAAACTTGGGAATTAGGATAATAAATACATTATGGCATAGACCCTGCTATAATAATCAATTAAAGTAATGATTAGAAATCTATCAACATTTCATAATTTGTAAAATTGTCTAAGTAAATAATAGATCCAATTTTAGTGATTTTAGGTAAATTTATTTTATAAAACTATTTTGAAGGTTCATTATTTATTATTTATTATCCTCAGTACAATATATATTCTAAAAACTTAGAATGACAGAAACTGCTCATTAGAATTATGACAATGTTTATTATAAATAAAACTATTAAATAATAATTCAAGGAAACAAGACTCTATATTGTGCTCTTGAACTTAATGAGTCCACGACTACAATTCAATTAGACACCCTCGACCATTTTGACCAGGATTTAGTAGGTACTTTAGTAGTTAGTAGTGTTAGTACATAGTAGGTATTACCATGTACCTAGAGTCTACACATAGATAAAATAAAATTGACTGACCATCATACCGTACAAGACACTACAAGTATATAGTATATACACACATACATATCATATATGATAATATATAAGCATATTGCACATACCCACCCACCTAGATAACGCTAGATGTAAAATGTTTTCTTTAATATTTTTTGTATGATTTTCATTATCAGGATACGTTTATAACTCATTATAATTAATAAGTAGACGTCTACCAAGGAAAAATATCAGTAAAAAATTGTTTTTTTTTGTATCGCTTATTTAACAGTGATTTGTATCAATATGTATATAGTTGTGAATAGGTAAATAATAAATTACAAAATCTAACACCATCTTAAACGAATTTTATAAATGATTATAAAATACTTGTATCTATCTATATTACCTGCGGTGTCTAGAGTACCTACACAAATATTACATAGTACGTACCATAACTCAAATATTCAAATATTTGATATACATTCGTAATCTTACGATTCACTTTTAAGTCTTACATAATAATATTTTGTTCATGTAGGTATATTATAATATAATATACACGAACGCTTCGTTTTTGTCACTTTTAAATTTTAATCAGCAAATAAGGTCAACGATGGAAACTAAACTATGTGATTTTTTTTTGTATTTAATTATCAATTGGACGTGCAAGGTTGTACAATATTTTACTTTTTAGTTTTCCGGTATTTTATCAGTCTCACGTTTTGTTTTTAATCCTAATAGTTTATGATACAATTGGATACTACAAACAACAACAAATAATTTAAAACAAAAATGTATACAAAATGTATTCATGGGAAAAAAACTATTTTCTTCGATTTAATATATTATAATTAGGGCAATCGAACAAGTTCATACATATACGATGAAGTTAGAGGGCACAACCACAGATATAAAAGATGTACTAGTACACTAGCAGTAGCTACCTCTGGCAAAGCATAAAATACAGAAAACTGTAGGGAGGCGAAAATCGGAGAACACACCCGTTTGCTCTCCATAAAAGGACACCTGTGGAGCAGTCTGACCCATTAACAACTATACTAGCTGTCTGTCGTTTGACCTATATACTAGCCACCAGGTAGATACCCAAAGAGTAAATATGAAATACACATATCATACATAAAAAACTATATGTACTTGGGTTTCTACTAAATATTATTTTTAATTATAAATTAAATTATTGCTGTTGATTTCCTGTCATATTATAAATATTTTACGAACATTTTAATGATTTTTTAAGGAAAATTACGTTTTTCTGAGCTTTTGCCATCATACAACTTTTAAGAAATTAGAAAAAATTACCTATTTAAAGTACATTTGAATTTACTTTGCAAAGTAATCTATAATATGAAACATTTGGAACACTAATAAAGCTTCAGTGTCTATGCGGAGAAGAACTCTTAAAACTCTTTTAGAATCTAGTAAAAAAAATCAATTAAATTAACAAATCACACATATGATCCCTTTCAACTATTAAACAAAATACTATGTATATTTATAAGTAAGTTGTCAATTTTGATAAAATAATATGAAGATTTAATTTTTTAAATTTTAAATATACCTACCTTATTTATCATAAAATAATGAACCATATATGAATCACAAGAGTATATTTTTTACTTCATGACTTCATTATAATTATACAATTTATTATTCCTTCGTGAGCTTGTGACTTTAATATGTCCAATATTTCATAGCGACATGATTTGCTTAATTTTTAAATTTCAAATGTTAACATACAAAATGAAAATTATAAGTATTCTTTCAAATATCTGGTTACACTTATTTTAATATGTTCACTAGCATAAATGCATAGTAAACACTAAAAACACAATAACAACTTGTTTGAAATAATAATTGTATTATTATTATTATTATTTTCGTATTTTTATAACATGTAAGTGCAAAGGCATAAATCGAAAATAATAATTAATATGAGTGTACCCATTTTATCATTATTTTGACACGGATATAAAATATTATGTCTCATGTTTATGCTGTTATTTAATTAAACATGGTTATTAATTATTAGCTATCAATATGTTATCAAATATAATAGGTGTTCTATATGTGTATATATATATATATAGATGCATTGTGTAATACAGACACAAACATATTATGGAATGTGCTATATTTTCCACATTTTTTTTCACAGTAGTTATAATTTTCTTATAATATAATAAAATAAAATGGTAACTAAAAAAAAACAAAAATAATAATAAAAGATAAAATTGTGTGTGATAAAAAAAAAATAAAATCTTTCTGATAATTTATTATTATACGGCACATAATAGGTAGGTATATCTTTGGGTTCGTGCCACACATAATATTATAATATAATTATATTATTATAATATAAAAAACTGCTACCTACAGTAATTAATTATTAATTATCAACTATTCTAAACTGAAAATCACAGTAAACTGACACCCTCTGTCTCATATATACAAGACCATAACTGGCAACTGCAGTATAGTCAATATTTACTACTAAAAATGTTCTACTTTTAAAAAAATTTTTGGAAAACCTACAGTTACTGTTTTGTATCTATGAATTTATTGATATTGGATTGTTTAAAAACAGTTCCATATGATTATACAACTTCAAAATATAATTAAATACAAAATAAATACACCAATCACCAACGCACAAAATGCAATAACTAGGCGTGGTTTTTTAGTTTTTTACAATCAACAGGTTTAGTACGTTTGTGTAAAAATCATCTTAAAAATAGCAAAAATAAAAAAAATATAATAAACGAAAGGTAGCGTAAAATCAGACACCACAGAAAGTTAACACGTAAAATCCGTTAACAATATTTATATAACTCGTGGTCTCATTACTATACGTCGTATACCATACCTACTTATGTATAATACGCTGCAGGCTTTTGAGTATAATAGAACATGTGCCGCCCACTCAGGAACGTTCAAAGACTAACTCGGTCCAAGAATATAAAAATTATATGTATATTATACGTACGTATAATAATAATGTGTAAAATAACAAACTGTTCTGGTCCTAAAAAAATATGTATATCCAATAATAAAAAACCACCAATGAACCAAATACACATATTAAGTTGAGGGTTATAGTTTATGTAACACAATAACATAAAATTGGTATTGCACGAGCGAGGAAGTTTAGGCCGACGGGTTTTTCTTCATGAGCGCCAAATCGGCTTCCATCATATCGTAGACCAGTTGCTGGAAAAATACAATCAATATTCGCATGACGCGAGTGTTACAATACATTATTATATCGTCATGTAAAAAATCGATTTACGAAGTGGAGTCGGCATTTACCTCGAAATTCACTTTGGGGACCCATCCGAGTACGGTTTTGGCTTTGGTGGCGTCACCCAACAGGAGTTCCTGAAACCGAATAAGTTTTTGATTTTTAAATAGTATATGCCAAAGGTTTTTTCAAAATCGATAATATAAATATAGTATTATATTATACGTTGTATAACGCGTGTGTTTGTATACGACGACGATTGCCTTTGTTATTTTATGCCCGGCGGATGTATTTTTTTTTTTTAATAATATATATCTACAATGACAAGCGGGACCCCACATTGCAGAAATTGTAAACAAAGCTAATGTTCTTTTATATTGCCGGGGAATAATAAACAAGTATACATTATATTCATTTGTTGTGCTGTTGAAAAACCGAACGATTATGTTATTTGAATAAACACATGCCAAACACAAACATTCTACACTACCTATATATACGCCAGACAGACAATGAACGAGATGAACACCTTTGCAAACAATGCATTTTTTCTTGTTCAATTATATAAATTGAAACATGTAATATAAAAAAATCTACTATACTGTAAAAAAAATAATACAGAATATAATCGTGGATAATAACAGTATAGTTTCGTGCAGTTTTATCCAATCCCTAACCCTTACCCTCCCCTGCAAAGGTCGCTACCCTCCATATAAAATGACATTAGTTATTCAAACACATATTCATTGATATAATATTATAATAATAAAATTGGTTAATATTAAAATTTTTAATTGAAATTTGAAACGTTAAAAATGTCAAATCAAAATTTGTGCGGCATTATATCTAGGTATTTTAAATTAATTAGGTACGTTATTTAATATACTTAAATACAGATCTAACAAGACGTAAAAGTGTCAAACCATTACAACTTACATATTATATAACAATTTTTTAACAAAGAAAAACAGACATACCACGCTGATTCGGGTGGGCTAAAACATGATTTCGGGTCTAACATTAATTCAACGTGACACATCAAACTCACTTTGTTATTTTTAAGTTGCAGCTTGTTTATATTTATACAGTTAAAAGTTTCCACATAATAACATTTAACATTTTTACAATGTTTTCCAAGTAATCAATAATATCATTAATTATAAGTACCTTCTAATATCGATTATTTATAATCAATAATATAATAAATAAAATATTCCCAATTAATTAAAAGTTATTGGAATGTTACAAATTATAACATATTATTACCTACCTACATAATATTACATGGGTTATACTTGATTTAAAATATTGAAATTAACTAAATTACACAGTATAAGTATTTTGTTATACATAATCTCTCAGCACAGATCTTATCTGGGGTATTCGATGACATAATGTTTACGACATTTTTGATATTGTCAAATAAAACTAAACTAAAAAAAAATCAAATTAATAATACAAAAACGTTATAAGCTATATTACACTAATTTATAAAAAATTTTATATCTATGCCCTATGTAATACAGTGGGTGATTTTTTTAACAGTGAACAAGGGGGGTGCGCACTTGCCGTCATTTACCAATTACCTACAATAAACTATATATTCTAATATTCCGGTAAAATGTACTGCCAACAATATATACGTAGCATAAAAAAATAAAACTATAAAAAACAATTGATTTGATTATATTCTGTTTTATTTTATCATTTATCATATGAAAGATTTACTGCATATACGAAATACGACTAATAATTAAATGTTGAAAAAATAATATATTTATTTAAGTTATGATACATTTTTTAAAAATAAATACATAAGTAATTAACCTGTAATAATCTAATGCTTTTATTTTATTGAATACTTATTTTGATGACATAAAAAAAATATATGGAGTGTGGAATGTGGACGTCACTCTACGTGATTTCTATTTTAATGTCATTAGATTTTTAATTTTAATAATTTAATAGCAAATCTTTTTGGAATCAAAATGAAAATGAAAATGTCGAGTTATAAATAATAAGGTTTAGATGAGCGGAGTTATTTCTCGCAAAACGTTTGACTATTACTGTCCAGTCTGCTCACATAAACTTTGAATACATAGAAATTATAACTACTCAACTATCTAATCGAAATTTGATTATTGACCATCAAAACTCTCAGAAAAATATAAAAATGTAAGAAGTATTGTTGCATAGCGACAAAATAATGTGAAAAATATTTTTTTCAGAAACTTTAATAGTTGTCAAGATATTAAGCGTTGTCTACTAAAATAAACACCCTGTATAAACTAGCAAACATAAATAATAGATAAGCTAGATAAGCTTTTAATAAATTATGTTTTAAATTTAAATTTTGAACATACTAACAAAAAAAAACATTAAATTTGATTCATGTTTAATGTTTATTATAAGATAGTATTTAATACTAAAACATTTTTATACTTGGTTTTTAATTCTGTGGTTAATATATTATCTCTATTTTCATTCTAAAATATTAATGTGTTAAAATTCTTCTAAAAATAATAACAAAAAAATATTTTAATTAATAAGAAATGGGTATTCTACTATATTTCACTCAGAGTTAAAAATGTAATAATTAATTACTAATCAATAATCAATATGAATAGTAAATAATAAAACATTAACATCAAACTTGTATCAAAGTATTAGTATTTAGTACGATATTCATAAATAATATTACTAAAAATACATATGAATACAATAAAATGAATGAAAATAATATTTGTTGTCCACTATAACTAAAACAACTGGACCGATTTATGCGAGGTTTTTTGCAAAATGGTCTTCGTTGTCCAGAGAAGGTTTAAAGTTCTTGAAATCTTCGATCTGACCAGTGAAAGTAAGTAGTTAACTTAACCAGTAGTTTTTAATAGATAAAAAATAAGATTTAAAGGTGTGAGTATATTTTTAATTGCCTGGCAAATTAATATAACATATCCTTTTTTCAATGTTTCGATGTTCTTCCGGAAAGCGATACACGTCCGTCAGTCATTCGTCAGGGTACTGTGACATGACACCGTGTAAGTTTTGTATAATCTTTATATATAAAGTTAAGTTGACTGACTAACTGATCTAACAACGCACAGGCCAAACCACTGGATGGATGGGGCTGACATTTGGCATACAGGTAGCTATTATGAAGTAGCCGTTCACTAAGAAAAGGTTTTTGGAAATTCAACCCCTAAATATGAAAATGATGGGTTGTAAGGATACAACAGCCATCTATCCAGTAAAAAAAAATAGTAAAATTTAGAATTGTAGTTCTGCTAATGCTCTAGATGTGCTTTGAAATTACTTATTTTAATTCCGTGACTCACACTTTATTTGGCACGCTGGAAAATCATTGAAACATTTGAATAAGTATACTCAACTCGATGACTTGATTCAATGATTATATTTATTGCTTGCATAATTTGTACTTATACTGCAGCTAATTATCGTGTCTGCAATTCACCACAGGTTGATTTACTACCTAGCTGATATACTGCTTACATAATTTCATTTGAGGTGAGACAACTAGCTGTCTTGTTAAGACACTCAAACCCGGTTATTGATTTTACACTTTTTACATACAAAAAAAGCACTGGAAATGTGACTCCACAAAACCCATTCAATCAGCAGTATAAATATTGAAAATACAATTTTTTTAAAAACAATCTTTTTCGGGCAACGCCGGAGGGGCAGCTAGTATATAATATACTCAAATTGTCCATCATGCCTCCCAAATGAAAAGCAATTGATTCATCTACACCTTAAGCACGAAAAAAAAAGGTATCAAAAGCTTCAAAAACAGACGATCGACGGGAAGCAAGACTGCAAACCACTTTTTGATATTATAGACGAACACTGAACGTATATTTAAATATTTATACATTCCAATTAAAATTACAGTCTTCATCCAATCATTTTTATTGGAAAAATGGATAAATTATGCAAGTACTCTCAAATTTAGAAAGAAACCCTTGGAATGTGTTACGCAGGCGGAAAAGTGAAATTTCTAGAAAAATTACATTCCCCGCCTGAACTATTATTAACGTTGGTAGCAGGATACTAGCCTATCGAATCATATGCAAGTACAATTCATGTTTAAAAATTACGCTGTTTCGATGCAACAAATATCGCGTTTGAGAATTATATGACAAACTATATCAATGTGCAACGGGAGAGGGGGATTAATTTCATTCGAAACACTGATGAACAGATTAATAAACGTGGTTAATTTAATACAGACATTAAACGAGAAATGGTAGCTGCATTCCAAATTTTATTTTTATTGTATCGACATAACAGATTAATTTGATGTTTACAACTGCCCTTGATCAAATGACAGCTGATGACCACAAAGTTGTAGTTAAGGCAGACAAACACGTGCCGGCCGACACGAAAAATAGTACATGCACCAACGCCACCAACCAGTTGATGAAAAGTCGATCGTTATAGTTTGTAAACTTATCAATCGGATATCGATATATATATATATATACGCATCGATATCAGATATATTGCAATATCCGATTTTATTTTGGCAAGGAGATGGATATTATTTCAACATCAAATTGAGAAATCATCAAATAGATGAAGACATGAATAAAAAATTCAGTGCATTATTCATATCGTTTAATGATAAGTGAGAACCTTCAAAATCGTATCTTGAAATACTGACAATTTTATGCACATACTCGTAATATATGCGAAAATCGAAACCAAACGACTCCTCTACATTCCATTAAATCAAACAAAGCATTCTGAAGAGTACATTAATTTAAGACTTAAGTGATACGTTAATTAATGATTGCAATATGAATCCCAATGAATTAGGGATAAATGGTCTTACTCTCGGCTACATATACATGTATATACTATATAATATATGGATAAGCACAAAATTCAAGATGCTATGATATTCGTTCACGCATAGACCCCCAGAGTTGTTTATTATATTCTAACACAATTCTGTGGGATGAAATTGAAAAACTTATTAGCTGGACATTATCATCGGATCGATCTGATATTACCACGGTAGTGTTCAGACAATTGAAACCTTTGATGAATTACATAGGCAAGCGTCATGTTTCTGGCGAAACACGATGTTTGATGAATAAGAAGTTGTAATGTATAATAAGCAATTGAAGGATATCACAATTTATATTCGATCGACAAGTTGGGCTGTCTGTACACTGCTCCCCCAAAACAATGTAGGATACTGTTAGTTGCAAATTGCGATTACTGTGGATCAACGTCCTTCCAAGAATAAAGAATAGTTAACGATCTAGTATGTAACACTTATCATTTATCTTGCTAAGATTATTAGAATAAAATTTTCATGAAAGAGATGCACATTGAGACATTGGCTTCATACAACGAATATTAATATTATTTTCGTTTGTTGTAGGAAATCCCGGATAACTCTCGAATCCATATCATTTAGGATTAGGACTGTGGAGTGAACGGATAAGCATTTGATTTGACATAGGTATACCAATCATCACGTTTGAAGTTATACCGATTCCACTTACCCCTAATGTAAATGGTTTATCCCTGTTTGATTATCATAAATAGACTGGAAAAAAGTTAGTCATATATTTTTTTAATGACAACAAATAACCATCACCACAGTTTATCTTGTAGTGTTCTCATACAAATCGATGAGTTACACCACTTTTTTTTACTCGGCGACTCAAGCAAGAAAAACGAGCGAAATGATATGACAAAACGATACAACGCATTGATACATATAAGAATTTTGCAAAACAATACAACTAGAATTTATTTTCACATTTAAGATAATATTTTAAGAATAATTTGAATGGACCCAGATTTTGATTATAGAAAAAAAATGCCAGATAAATCTTTATTGGGCTTTCACAGTGAGTAGGCATATAAAAGTGTCTTCATCCTTTCTAAAACACCCTGTAAAATATATTATAGTCCAGTAAATTCTCAATTGATGCAAGTAGTCCAGATAATACACAACAATCATTAGTAATTACTAGTAAAACTTCCATACCAATGATATAAAAAAATATAATATTTTAATTAATAGTTTAAGTATACTATTATATTTTAAAATAAAAGTTGACGATAAATTTAATCCCTACATAGTACATAATTTAACATACTTAATTCTTTTTTACCTAATATTACTAACTAATATCAATAAGCTATATAATTGTGAATACCGAAACAAATAATATATTCCTTAAGAATTAAACAACCTTCCATGCACATGCATAATATTGTTATCGCATATGCTATTAGCCCTATACTTCTAAACTAAATCTATTTAGAATTTGTCACTTTTTTCTTTTCAAAAAACAGACAAATATCAAAGTTATTTTAAAGAAAACTATTATTGACTTAAGTTTTTTGTTTGAATTACCAAACAATTAAATTGATTGATTTTAACTTTTAAAGAAAGTTTGTTTTAAATTTCTTATTTTGACACCACTAGAAGAAACTGATCCTTGTTTTGTAAATAAGATGAGCCAAATCATTTTTAAATGAGCATAATAAATATCTAGCATAAAAGTAGTACGAGGCATATGGCTACTCGTGTAGTATGCTACCTACCAAAATACTTTTAAGGGTGTTAACTGTATTTTACCTTCTCATTATTAATTAATAACAATTTATTAAACAACAATTTATTTAATGTACTGCTGAAGATCAAGTATTATAATACATTATAAATTGTCATTTTTTTTACGTCATCCCAGAAAACTTTGAATTAATTGTTGTGTTTTAATGGAACTCTACCATTCATATTTTAGTTGACAATCTAACAAATTTGTTGCTCAACACAGCAAGGTTGAAAGACACAACACAGACTAAAATAATATAATATCTAAAAGTGAGTCATTGTGATCAAGTAATCATGATGGCTATTTAGCGATTATATTATTGTATATCACCATTATAATATATTATTTAACTTAATAACTTGTCACAGCTGCTGTACATAGGTACTTTCCCGTAATAAAATAAAATAAAAATATAACATATATTACAAGAGTATGTACAGCAGGAGGGTATGTAATATATTATGGTAGGTAGCACGCTACATGCATACAGTTTTTTGGTAGGTAGCATAAAACAAATAAATAGGTAAGTATTTGTTACAGTAAAGTATGAGTTTGATACTGCATTACAATAAAACTATCAAACCCAAATTTTTTTATGAAAACCAAATATAATCAAAACATTATCGATCCATCACATAGTTGTCTTAAATTGATATAAGAATATCAGGTATGATGTACAAATATCTTATTAAAAATAATTACCTCTTATGATCAAAAGTATACATTTTTAAGTCAGCATCACTTTTATCAGTTATCTTAGGTAGTAAAAAATGTTTATGGAAATGTACTGGCCTCATATTTCTTTACTATAATTTTTATAACTTTTATTCATTTTAAATTTATTCAATAATTGAAAGTACCCAGAAAAAAAATTTAAAATGTAATAATAATAAATAAGAGATGAAGTGTCTACTGATTTAATTTGTACAGTAGGTTCCATGTTTGACTTCTATTGATTTATAAACTATAATGCAAGATTAATGGCAATTCCTGATAATACTAATTAATTTTCGACTTTTTTAATTCCTTAATTAAATTAAATATAATTTATGATCCATCATACTGAAAAATAAGATGAAAATATAAAAATAATCTACTTACAACTTCAGTCGGACGAAAATATTTAGCATTCACTTTGACACGTATGATATTAGTAGATTCTTCTTTTCCCACTTCATTCAACCCTGTTCCTTCCCAAATAATTGTTTTTCCAATGTGCTTGAATGATTTTTCTACAAATTCTCTAATACTATGCATTTCACCAGTAGCAATCACAAAATCTTGAGGTACATTCTGTTGTAACATTAACCACATGGCCTATAAATAAAAATTAATTTATCGAATATTAACTACTTATTTGAAGCTATAAAAATAAATAATCTATTCTTTAGAACATAATTAATACATGTATAACACATTTTGTAAATCTACACCTAGTGGCCGCTGCCCGCTCATAGCTCTATAGCCTATTCCAAATGAGTTGATACACTTTCGAGCAAGTATGCAGAACCGTTGAAAAAAATAAGGAAAAGTTGGACCCCTTTAGCGATGCCAGGTGCTCTATGATCAGCAAATTATGTTACTCCTTATTTTCAACGGCTGCCATCACGTGTATGAAAGAGACTGAGATTGACCCAACTGGTTTTAGTCAGTTGAGTGAGTCAGCTTACTTGGAATAGAGTATAGTTTCATTAAAAAAAGATAAAAATATTACTTCAACATAATCTTTGGCATGACCCCAGTCCCGTTTAGAGTCTAAGTTTCCTAGTTGTATACAATCCAATGAACCAATTGCTATTTTTGCTACTGATCTGGTAATTTTTCTAGTTACAAAGTTTTCTCCTCTCCTTGGACTCTCATGGTTGAACAGAATTCCATTGCAAGCATACATATTGTAGGCTTCACGATAGTTTGTCACAATCCAATAAGCATATAATTTGGCACATGCTAAACATTTTAAATACATTACACTATGGTTAATAACTAAGAATACATTTTTGCAGTAAATAAAGCCAAATATATTTTTAGCATAAACACATTGCCATTAATATAAAATAATACCATATGGAGATCTAGGGTAAAATGGAGTAGTTTCTTTTTGGGGTATTTCAACAACTTTTCCATACAATTCTGATGTAGAAGCTTGATAAAAACGTACACTTTTTTCTAGTTGACATGCTCTAATGGCATCTAGTAACCTAAGAGTTCCAACTCCATCTACTTCAGCTGTATATTCACTTAGTTCAAATGAAACCTAAAACAAAATTATTTTTGCAATGAAAAACGCAAAATAATTCATTGAACAGCCTACCTTAACATGACTTTGAGCTGCTAAATTATATACTTCAGTAGGTTTCACCATTCCTATAATTCTCACGAGACAACTACTGTCGGTCATGTCACCATAATGAAGTTTCATTTTACCTTCCATATGTGATTTAGGATCTAAGTAAAGATGTTCAATGCGACCAGTGTTGAATGTGCTCGAACGCCGAATAATACCGTGAACTTCATATCCTTTATCTAGCAACAACTCAGCTAGGTATGATCCATCCTACAATTGTATTTATAATATAATATTCACATTACATAAATGTTTAATTGATGTACCTGACCAGTGATTCCTGTGATTAGGGCTACTTTTCTACAACTATTTAAACCATTGTTACCGTTTTCCATGTCAATTAAATACTGTTAAGATTAAATTAAATATAAACACACTAATATACCAATTTCTTTAAACTACTAGAAAATAGGAAAATATCTTTTTTTAATGATTGAGAATCGAGGAACGTTTCAATTTGCCAAAATACCCATCACCATAAAATTTAAACTTTCAACTACAACTAATTTATAACCCAGACATCCTGCAATGGGTTAATTTAATGTGAGTCTGTGGCAATTAATATAATTTATGATTGGTACACGTTGTTTAAATTGTTTAGTTGACTAGTTAACATATAAGTGGCAGATAGCAAAATACAAACAATACATAATAATAGTTCATACAGAATTAAATCAAATACTATATACGTATACAGTATTAGATTAAATACAAATATTATAAATTATTATTATTAAAATATTAGATGATGTGATGATAATTTATATGGATACTATCATGACTCACGGCGAATACAGAGATAATCATGTAGTCATCATGAGGATACTGAATTTACAAAGGATACTGATAACGAAATATACATTATAAGCAATGAGAACCACTGTTCAGTTCGGTTCTGTTGTTTAACTACTCTAAAGTCCCGTGTTATTTTGATAAGCTTTTATATTGGAATAAATAATAATACATAATATTTCCTTTCTTCGAGTTTGGATTTTAATCCCAATATTTTTAAGTAATTGTAGTTATGTTGAAATAGTAGTCGAAATTTAGAATACTGTGAAACTCTTCAGTATCAAATTCAAGATTGGAGTGCTAAAGGAATCGGTACCAATATGTGGACAACAGCCAAATGTAATTATTAAACGCTATTGATTAATTGTTTACAAACAATAATAGGTCCATTTATCAAGTTGAACCTACTCTTTAAGTCGCGTCTTGTCCCTTGTTAGGTTGTTGGAGGCATGACTGATTTCCTGCTGGATTTTAGTATGGGATGGATTCGCCAACATCTGATGTGCTTTTACTCAGTGAAGACGACAGTGGTCTGTTGGTTAATGGTTCGTTTTCAAACAGTTCCGCCAGTAGCAGTTCTAACAAGCATTCACCACAATTCAAAGTAAGTTTTTATACGTCTATTTATAATATAATCATTAAGTAATGTTGTGTAGATATACACTTATTCATTGTATACAACTAATATTTTGTTTCATTCCTCGTAAACTAGTGTAAGTGAAAATTTTTTTTGTAAAATATCATCACCAAATTAAGTTTATTGTTTAATTTGTATGTACAATCAGTGAAAAACAAATTAAATTGTTACACTTATGATAATAATTAGTGCATTTTATGTTATGTTCAATATTGTCGTTAAAACTATTATTTACATTAACACAAAACGCTTAAAATTATTTTAAAACATATGATGATCATAATAATTACATAGAGTAATAGTATTAGTATTTTACTACAGTAGTTACTAGTCATATAATTAACTAAGTGATATACAAACAAAGATATTTATATATATATATATCCATCTTAGTAATAAAGCAACAGCTTACAAATAAATTATTAAAATATAAATAAACTGAAGTGATTTCTATAGAAATCTATTATTTTTGCATTAAAACTTTCAATTTATAAGTCTTAAAAAGAAATTAAATTTAAATGTTAATTAAAACTCACTTTATTTGCTAGATAATATTTATAAAAGTTAATATTTATTGTATTTTTTGCTTGCTTACCATATTTTGCATAATAATCTTATAAGTTATAATTCGAGTATGATATTTTCTCAACATCCCTTAATATATCAACATTTTCAAGACGAAAATTGTGATACATATCTACAAGAAATAATTAAGTACCGACTTGCATAAAAGTCTGACTCGATATTGGTTGGTACGTATCGTCGTATCGATCGCATAATGCACCTGTAACTTAATGAACGTTCAAAATTGACCTAATATGTATCGATACATTCCAATTTCTCCCTTGAAAATCTTGAATTTAAGTTAAGTAATGTCTTTTAAATATATACTATTTATAATTTCCAAAATTGATAATAGTTTATTTATTATTAGTTGTAATATCAAGCTCAATAATTAGTATTGTATAAAACTATCATAATACATTTAAATAAGCTGATAACGTACAAATATTATATAGGTTTATTGTAGGTAAATAATAGAAACTTTAATCTTTTGTTTATTATTACTTTATTAGCAATTACATTTTTAGTGACTCAAAAATATTGTGGTTGATAAAATATGTATATGTAATAATTTTGTGTTCAAATAATGGTAAGCATTATATTTTGAAAAGTTACAATTTTTAAGTTTGTCTATTATTTGCATTTTAAGGAGTTGTACATTATTCTAACTAAAGTATTATATACAATGAAATTATTAGTAAATCTTTTTGTAAATAATCAAAAGTAGAAAATAACTAAATGAATTTCAATACTTTTAAGTAGATGTGTACCTAATTGTAATAATAGGATTATAGTTTGTATTGTTTTTTAATTATTACTTATCCATTTATCAAAGTTACAAAACCGTAAAAATATGTAATACATAAAACTGTTTATATTTTTTTTTAATTACAAAGAGTATTTTGGTATTTTTAATGCTATTATCAAACATCTAAATATTTATGTTAAGAATATTATATTTAATAATTAATAATATTTTCAGAAACTCTATTTTGATTTGATTTTTTTTTTAATTTATAGTGTAAAGAATGTGATGATGAGTTGTCATTAAGTCAAGAAGATTCTTTAATTGATGATTCTGATACATCATACACACAACAGTTTAATACATTGAAAAAATGTCCCAGTGTTCAAAAATCGGAGAATCCAATTCAACCTCCTGTTGAGTTTCAAGACTCTCCGTGCAATTCTTTTAATGTTTACTCTCCTCCGTTTGAATTTAAAGACAATCAATTTAGACATGTTTGTTCTCCTGTCTACACTAATGAATGTATGATTCGTGTTGAACAATATGCAGATGGTTTTATAAAGTCGTTGATTAATGACTCGCTGAAACACTTAGATCCATTGCATGATACTAGGTAATTATAGAATATGTGTATTAATTGTAAATTACATGCATAATACATAACATTATTTTTGATAATAATTTCATTTTAATTGTGTTTTAGGCACTTTAAACAGCAAAAGCTGTATCATAATTTGGGCATTTATTGGAAGACTAATTACCGCTTACCAAATGGGTCAAACAATTCTTTATTATCAACTATTTCATCGTCTCATAACTCCTTGTTTAATGTAGTTTCTTCGGATGACTCTAATTTTATATCTTCTGCAGTTTCACATGATGCGCTTAATAGTGATACGTATACATTACCAATCGATAGTTCTCCATTTAATGTCGCTTTTCGACGACCATTGAGAAAAAAGAGAAAATTTCGCAATCAGTGCCATTCCGTACCACTTAGTAAAAAGTAAGCATTACAATGTTAAAATTTTAATACTGTTTAATTTTAATAATTATTTTCTAACTCAGATCAGGAGAAAAATGTATCAATGTTCAAGAGCCCATTCACATGACTGTAAAAGATGTACGAACCATTCTTCACAATATTTATAGCAATACAGGAGAGTGTAGCAAACCTGAAGTTGCAAATGTATCAAAATGCAATAATGTACAAAATGATCACAACAAAGAGAACTGTGTTAGCAAAATATCATCATCTAAATGCAAAATCAGAAAAAATTCATTTATGGTGAATATTAAACATAAGAAAGCTAAGGAGAATAGTACTTCAGAAGATATTGCTGGACATAGTTCTAGTCATTCAACGAGAAAAATCTTTTGTTCATCTCCATTTATTTCATCAACCAAGTCCAATTTTTCTTTTAGTTTAAAACAAACGTTTTGTAATATTTTCCGATCACGTAAAAGTACATCAACAGACTTGGATCCTGGATTGAACCCGACAGATACTGTTGTTCTTCTAGATGTAACTAAAGAGGCAACATTTGAAAAGCGGGCACTTCCACCAGTGCCTGATGATGGGCCCAGGGATACTTACGAACGCGAGACCAGTATGGATTTTGCCACTAGTATTGAAAAAGTGAAAGACGTAAGATTTTTTAAAATTATAACATAAATTATAAATCGTACTTTATGTATATTGAAATAATTTTAGTATGGATGGTATTGGGGTCCAACATCAGGAGAAGCTGCTGAAAAAATACTTTCAAATGAACCCGATGGATCATTTATTGTGCGTGACAGTAGTGATGATCATTATATATTTTCATTGACATTTAAGTTGAATGGTTTTGTTCGACATGTCAGAATCGAGCACGATCAAGGTAAAAATAGAAATAAAATTAATAAAATATAAACTATTTTCTCATTTAATATTTGTATTCAGGAAATTTTAGTTTTGGTAGCTGTACAAAATTTAAAAGTCACACGATTGTTGAATTTGTTGAAAATGCCGTAGAACATTCTCGCAGCGGGAGGTATTTGTTCTTTTTGCATAGACGTCCAATCCTCGGGCCAATGAGAGTACAGTTACTTCATCCTGTCTCTCGATTCAAACAAGTCCAAAGCTTACAACACATGGCTAGGTAAATTCTTAATAAATGTTATTTGAGCAATACACAAAAAAAAATTACGTTTGAATTGTTTAAAGAGTTAATAATGTTAAAAAAAATATTTTTATGTCATCAGGTTTGTCATTTTGAAGACAGTACGTCGAGATTTGATCCACAAATTGCCATTACCCAGACGACTGATTGATTATTTAAATACACCACATTATTATTGTGAACAACTGGGAAGCTCTGACAGTAGCCAATCAACAACTCCTACTCCAGCTGTACATCTAATATCATTTACAACACCTTAAATTTATTGATTCCTCATTAGAAATTTAAATTATTGGTAAAAAATACTTTACTAATACTTTGGTAAATTTACTTTTAGCAAGACATATTTAAAAATTAAACTATAAGAAACAGTCATAACCATAAGTATTCATATTATTTCATATACAGCAACAATTGCTAAGTAATTTGACAATTCAACTATTTAGAGATACAACTTATTAAATAATGTCATGAAACCGTATATAATATAAACTACAATTTTGTTATACAAATCAAATAACTATTAGTACATAATATCTAATAATGTGAAAGCATATAAAGAGCTTAAATTAATGTTCAACCGTGATTTATTTATTTTTTAATCTGGAATTCTTTATACCAGTTTGATCCTGTTAGAGAGACTTTTAGTTGAGTTTATAATGTACAATTATTTATTTTTATACTTAGGGCCATTAACATTGTATTGATTTTACAATAAGGTTCTGTACTTAATTTAGTATTAATTTGGTCATTTTCTTACTAGTTAATCAATTTAATTTCGAGATTAAACATTTAAATTGAATAATTACTATCTAAAATGATAAGAAAAAATTGTATATTGTTAAAAAATATAAAAAAGTGTATCAATTATTGTATTTACTCATACATCTAGCAATAAAAGTAGTTAAGTTGTTGGAAAATATAACATTTATATCATTCTTTAACTGTAGTTTTGTTGATAAATGTTTGAATACACATCAGAAACAATGATATATTTAGTGAAAATAAAAAATTTAACAGACATTTTAAAAACCAAAATGAGAATAAAAATAGTTCACAATTTATTACTTTACTAAAATTAAAATTCATACATAATATTTTAGTTTTTACAGAACATAAAAGTACTATGATACATGCATCACTTTAAGCTCTTCTTATAAAAACAACAGTCAAAGTTGATTTCAAATGCCCTAAGAATTATAACTATTCTTTCACGTATTAAATGATATTTTTAATATTTAGGAATAAATATAAATCAGAAAAACAATTAATATTATCATTTCTATTTATTATATAGTGTTGTATGTATATATTTTTTTTGTTACCTATTTTTAAGTAACTAATTGTGATTTTAGAGTTACTCTATTTTAATAATTTATATGTATAATTGTTTGACTATGTACATTTTTTTTAGCAGTATGCATTAAGCATTAGTCAAATACCCATTATGTGAAATACATGACTTGTAGATAATATATTATATAATATTTAATTTTGTTCGATGATTTTAATAAAATAAGAAAAATAAAAACTAAACATTTTTGGCTAGTTAATTTATTTTTTTCTGTACTAATAAAATGTTTTCTTATAGCAACTCTGTGATATGATAAGCTTAAGGATATAAGAGATCTAGAGGATTTGTAACAAATCAATAATCCATTTCATAAACTGCAAGTGATTTTATTTATTCCGTTGTCACTATACTTAAACATTCAAAGACTGAACCAAATTTAAAATAAAAATCCAGTATTGATTAACACATAAATATGTATAAAATATAAAATACATAACTTATATTTCAAAATTTAACTTAATAGTGTATATACATGTGGTTATTCAAATATCATTGCTCATTGCTAGCCAAAAGTTTCGATTAAATTATTTTACCTACCTGACCTTATTTACTTGTTGGAATCCCTAAAGTTTTCCTGACCAAAGTTTCAGCTACTTTATTAAATCCTTCGCGATCTTCGCGCCACATTTTAGCAGCATCAACATTTGCACCACTCTCGTCATTTGGCTCTGAACAATAAATATTAAAATAAATACTTAATGAAATAATAGTTTAAAACTAACAGTGTGTTTATAATTACCGGCAAGCATACTAATAACAGATAAAAGAATTTTTTCGACACTCTGTACAGGGCTCCATCTTTCATTACTGGATTCGTAACCCATAGGGTCATCCCCAGGTGCATGAAGAATTGAAATGCATACACGCCCATCAGAATAAACTGAAATTTAAAAATCTGAATTTTATTTTATTACAAAGTAATAAGTATAATTCTATTTGTATCTTCTATTAATAGATTACAATGTAAAGAGCTGACCTATCTGTATGCATCAATTCTTTTAAAAATACTAGTAAAATAATTTTTACATTCATTAATTGTTTATATATAGTTAATTGACCGGTGTTGTTTAATAACAAGTTGGGAGTTATATTTAAAATCCAACTAATGAAATTACAGCGTTAAAGAAAACAATAAAGAGTGCTTGAATAATATTGTCTACAATACAGAAAATAATTGAAATAAACTTCAATTATACCAGAATGGCAGTATTAATCTTTTCAACCTTACTACTTTACTCTAAAAAATCAAAATTATATCCTTCATTTGTCAAAAATATGAATATTTCATTAGGCAGTACCAAGCCATTGTAAAAAGTAGTAGAGTTAGTTGAATGACATGTATGATTATGTAACATGATTTAGTAAGCTGTATGTTGTGTAATAATAATAATTTAAATATCAGACATAATATGTATATTATAGACTACAACTACGTAGATAAGTAATTTCAATAACATATTACATAATAGTACTAGAATAAAAATTATATTTTTAAAAGATGAGTTAAGGTTGAAACAACAATATTTACATGAACTACCCATAAATTGTTTTTATTTCTTAACAAAATATTGTGAATAAGCAATAGATACTACATTTAAAAATGTCCACTGAAAATTTTTTTAAATGAATCACAATATTGGTATGGACAAATATTAACATACATCACAAATTGTACTCACTGTTTGGATGAAACATATCACAAGTAAAACTCATTTTTGGTGGACTCAATGGATAGTCAGATGGAAATATAAGTTTAGCTGGAAAAACACCACCTTCAAAACATGTCCCTTCTGGTCCTCTACTCATAACAAAATTTTTGTTTAGATATTGTGAGGGTACTGTTTAGTAAGCAGTGTTTACCAACACCATGGCATTATTATAACTTACGTTATTAAAGCTTCCCACTCAAAGTAATTTTCTTCAGTGGTTGGTCCGGCAATGATTCCTTCGGGAGGATTCAATGTCAGCTCTACAGAATAAATTACACAGAAATGTGAATAACAAAAATATAGACTACACTAATAAAGTATTTACATACGTTTATATTCAGCCATAAGTCGTCTTAGAGCAGATCCAGCCATCGCAAAACAATTGTATTAGCTGTAGTTGGATGTACAAAATAGACACGTCTCAAAAATCACAAAACAAAACTCAGAAGAATTGGCTATAGTAACGAAGCGAATAGGTAGAATGTAGAGTAATTATTTATTAATAATTACTAATAAATTATAGTTGCCACTTAGGCCAATTTTGATAACAGTAAAATTGATAGTAAGTATTGATGACGATGGTGAGACTTGTTATAGCTTGATGATATAACAGGTCATATTATAATCATAATGTTGTTTGTGATATCGACTTGTTCTTTGGAGGGTGTTTACGGGAGTTCAACTACTTTTACTTTACTCGTCGTGTCGTGTCCGTGTCGTTTCGTGTAAAATACTTTCTGATTGGCTTACCAAAATGCAATTGTTTACATCTAAAAACGCCTGACCAACACGAATACACGATACGCCGATACCATGACTACCCCGAAATATAACACAATATAGGCCGTGTGGTTACGTTCAGCCCGTTCAGGTTAAACTGAATGATATTATATTTATTTCATTGATTTTGAACCCTGCTATCATTCACCATGGGACAATATTAATATCATCACAGAACAATGCCGCTATAGACGTTTCGCTACCGTAATTATTGTTAAGTAAGGTTTATAATAAATAATTATAAATTGGGTAGACGTGTAAACCACAGAATAGGAGAAATTCACATATTCTGTGTGTAAACTATAACATAAAAAAAATTAGAAACATCTACCTATAAAGCACAGAAACAATTTCCCCTTTTTGGTGATAGTACTATCTGAAGTTGTATGGTCGCCACGGTTGTATTGATAAGAATAACACGTGACAATCGTCAATCAATATTTCAACTGAATCAACTCCCGAGTGTCCGAAATCCAAAATTCCAAAATATAATATTAATTTGCTGAAAGTTTATACCAAAGTCAGTTGAAGAAATTCTTGGAAATTTTAAGACGTGAAATGGCATCGTTTGAAGTCGAAAACAACGATAATAGTAAAAAGCGTAAAAACAAAAATGTTGAAAAGAGTAAAAAAAAAAAAAAACTTCCGGAAGTTGTCGAAATAAATGAAGGTTTAGAAACTGAAGATGCGGTAAAAATAAAAATTAAAGACCCGGAAAAAGTCAAGGTAATAATAGACAATAGTATTGATACTTCAAAAACCACTGAAATCAGTGACAAAGTTAAGTCATCAAAACCACGACAATTGCCTACTGTCTCCATAGCCGTGCCTGGATCCATTTTAGATAATGCGCAGTCTCCAGAATTCAGAACATATCTGGCCGGACAAATTGCAAGAGCAGCGTGCATTTACAAAATTGATGAGGTTTGTTTTTGAGCATTTTTATTAAGTTATCATTAAACATCTTCTTACTCATTTTTTTTTCTTATTAGATCGTAGTTTTTGATGATGTGGGTGAACAAACTAATGTAATGATATCCAACAAGAAAACCGAAGGTGGTTCAAAGACGTGTAAACAATTGGCCATAATCTTACAATACTTGGAATGCCCTCAATATTTGAGAAGAATATTATTTCCAATTCACAACTTTTTAAAATACACTGGAGTATTGAATCCACTAGATGCACCACATCATTTTAGACAAGAAGATAATGTCCCATTTAGGTATATTTTGTTTTTGGATAATAATTAAGTGCTCTATAAATAATATAAACCTATATAAACATTTCTTTTGGTAAATTAAAAAATTAAAACTCAAATTGTTAAAAAAAAACCAAATCCACCAATTTTTAGACTACATATACACAGTTATTATGCAAAACACTCCAAATCTATATAACTATCTGCCCACTTAGTTGACCATTCAACAATAATATGACAATTGCAATACCAATTGAATATTTGAATATTTAGATAAATAATAGTGCTAAAATGTAGCTAATAATCACAATAGCTAAAATACAATCATTATTAGTCATATAACTTAATAAATAGTTGATCTATGTTATTTTATAATAAGTGAATATGTTGATTTTTGTTAAAAAATTACTCATTCAATTTTATTTAATCAGAAATTTTTACTGGTAAACTTTTACTTCCAACATGTTTCTGTGAAAAATTGTTATATGTTCTAAAATAAATATTAAAAGTATTGTTATTTTAATTTACAGAGAAGGTGTAGTGTCGACACTTCCTCCAAAAAAAGGTAAAGGCTGTAATGTCGATGTTGGTCTTAGAAAACATGTACTTGTTGATAAATGTCTTCAGCCGTATGTACGAGTTACTGTTAAACTAATTCCAAATTCAGATGATTCTAAACGTCAAAAAGGTATTGTAGTAGCTCCGAGTACACCCAAAAATGAATCTGGTATTTACTGGGGTTACACTGTAAGGAATGCTGAATCAATAAATGAAGTATTTACCAAGTGCCCATATCCTGGTGGATATGATTTAAAAATTGGTACATCTGATAAAGGTGTTAATATCGATCAAACAGATCATACTCAACTCGGTAGCTTTAAGCATGCATTGATATGTTTTGGAGGAGTTCACGGACTTGAAGCTGCATTAGAAGCTGATCAAAGCATTGATGAAGAAAATCCATCTGCTTTATTCAACATTTATTTAAATACGTGTCCAAACCAAGGTTCTAGAACTATTAGAACTGAAGAAGCTGTTTTTATAACATTAGCAGAATTACGTTCCAAAATGAAACTCGAATAAATTATGTACCCAAATGTTTACTTTATTTGATTTTGTAAACCAATAATAAATGTATTTGTATGAATTTCTTTACATTCTTCAAAAATACTTTGAACTAAATGTAATGTTAAATATTATGGTGCTACAACACAGTAGCTGCTTTACACGAGAGGGGGGTTTGAGAATTTAAAAACATTTTGTATACATATACATATAATTTTTTATATAACACTGCTACGACATAACGGTAAAATGTCAGGATTAAAGGTTGCAAATTAGCTACTTCTTTCTCAAGAAGAAATGTCATAATTATCAACAACCAACAATTTTGCTTATCATATATTGTTGTAGCTAAGTATAGTATACGCATATGATGCAACTGTGTACTGCAATTACGTATTTAGAGGGTGACTTTAGAAGCAAGTACAATACTTTAAGGGGGTGTTAAAATCTTAAGATAATGTATGATACTATGGTATAGTAATTGTATACATTATTATCAGGGTATAATGATTTAGATACTTTTTTACACTTATATTATATAAGTTGTGATTTTGTTATAGTCCGGCACTTAGGTCACGGTATGCAGGCGTCACAATTTAAGACAGACTTAAATAGGGTAGAAATATAGTTTATCTTAAATTTTAACAGGACTCACTTATCCCATAGATAACTGACAATTAGTCACTTAATCCTACACTTCCGTTAACTTAGCCAAGAATGCTAGTCTTTCTTTTCGCTGTGTTCATCAAATCAGCCGAATTTTGGTGACAAACTGTGTGGGTCACTGAAGACCAATTCCTATCAGGTATTGAGTTGAAACCACGACTACAGATACTATCTATAATCTATAGCTGTGTTTTTACCATATTATACTAAACTGTGTAATAGGGGTTACATATGTTATTTTTGGTTTTTGAAATTAAATATAATAAATTATTTTATTTACTAATTGTTTTCCCAACTTGACAGAGTTAACATTTGACTTATAACTGTTGCCCTAAGTAGATATTGATAACTATAAGTATAATACATCAATTATATTATTATATTACATTTATTCTTACATTTATTCTTACATTTATTACAACGAATGAAGTATTATAATACACACGGTTAAAATCTAAAAGATTTTAATATTATATAAGTATTCTGTAATGATTGAAACAATTTATAAAAAATAAAAATAATTTATAAATTAAATGTAACAGCTAATATGAATCTTTAAAATCAAATATATATTTATTTAAATATGCACTATGTAGTAATTAGTATTTAGATAACTTAATGTTGTAAAAATGTTTTTTGAATATTAACAGAAGAGTTCATAATTATTTGAAAATTAAATATGCATTCATCATTTTACTTGTATTTTTATTTGGTTCTTATATAGTATATTAAGATTAGGGCAGGGATTTAGATGTACTGGGAGTTTTTTTTTACACATTTAAGGGTCTTTAGACCATTATATAGTACAATATTTTAAGTAGTGTTAACTAACCTTATTTCTAAAGTCATATGATTTTCTTAAATAATATAGTGATTTCTATATATTTTGTACTTCATAACCAAGTTTGGATAATTTTTTTCTCAAACTATCAGCCATTTTTTTTCGAGCTACCCTGCAGTCAAAACAATAATTACTCATACGGCCACGTTGTCCTAGACGTTTTTCAACATATCCCTGGCATGTGATAGATCTTACAGAAACATAAATATAGGTAAGCAACATTATTTAACAACTAATATTATTTTTTTTTCAAATAGAAATTAGAAAAACAACAATTACATCACATTTTATACCTGGTAATGATATTTTCTGATGTCATCATTCCTTTGCATTCTATTAAAGAATGAATATTTTTCAATAACTTATTTGTATCATTCATGCTCGATAAAACTGTATTAATAATGTTGTCAAATATAACTTCAACATCACTAAAAAAAATCTGTAAACATTTAATGATTATAAAATTAGAATAATATGAACTTAATATAAAATAAAATTATAGATTTTTGCATAAAAGTTATTTAATTTTTTCTTTTTACAAAACAATTGCTTACTTTTGCTATTAAGCTATTTGAAATTGTTATTTTTTTTGAAGATCCACAATTACATCTCACAAGCACTACTTCATCATCCTTTGATTTAAAAATCCATTTACTATCGGGTTTTTCTAGTTGGTTAAGGTTTTCTTTTAAATACTGAAAAGAAAATTCTTGGTAGATATTTTCAGGGCATCTCATTTCACCTGTATCTGAACGAGATTGACTTGGTTTAGATAACTTTTTATCGATACATAAAGACCTTTCTCGAGGAGGTTTTCTTATCTTGTTATGTTTTGTTAAATAAAATGGAAGATTAGGAAATATACACGGAACTGCTCCAGCTCTTAATATAGGTCTAATTCTTTTTAGTTTATTGACTGTTCCATCCCATAAAATAGTCTCATCATAAAATAGAACATCATTCTCTTCAAAATGCAATTCACAAACATAAGAGCTTTCTGTGAGAACTTTGTCTTTTCGGGGTATAGCTTTATTCCATTTTGCTAAAAGCTCCTTATTCTAAATATAATGTGTAACAAAAGTTTGAATAGGAAAATGTTTTTTCATAAATAACATTAAGATTTTGGTTTTCTTACTTTGGGTGGTTTAAATAAACTTTTATTTTTTAAGCCATTTGCTTTTTGTTGTCTGACGTATGAAGCGTTACCAGTAGTACACCCTGGTACATAACAGCACTTAACCATTTTTAAAATGTATTATGTGAAAAGCATCTCGTTCAAATAACTAGAAGTATAAAATATTACTCTCTTTCAATACTCAGCAAAATGATAAAAAAAACATTAAACACCAAGCATTAAAGATAAAAAATAAAATTTTCTATCTTAATGGTGGCCGATGGAAACCGGGAACCATGACTAAATAACAGGAATGATGTCACAGATAAACTTCTGAAAATGAATTGAACGTTAGAACTTGGTGAGACGTGAGTTAGTAGTTTAGTACTTAGAACTTTAGAAGTCCCAACTCCCAAGACGTGGTCAGCTCTCGCCTCTCAGCTGCACTCAGCACTCAGTAGTCAGCACGATTTAAGATGGTAACCACAGATTAAATAAAAATATTTTATATTATCTGTGGCATGATAGAAATAACTACATAGTATACATAGATAATATATAGAGGATAGGCTATTCCAATACCTACAACCCATGGGTTCGCGTGCCGGAAGAGCCCCAGACTAACATTGGTTATGGTAACCTAGTTATCAATGGTTACGTTATCCTGTTATCTTGTCAATGTATTTGAATTAGGAGTACGAAATGACGAAATTTGAATTATTAAACATTTTACTGAGTAGTGACTAGTGAGACAGTGAGTACACTATTAAATTTTATTAAATTTTGTGGCAGGAACAGTACAATTAATAATACTTGGTATGATCGCAAAAGGTATTGTCATTAAATTATTACTACTATATATAATACAGTATGTTACGACACGTACCGATCGTCAAAAAATTATGAACATACATTTTTGTTTAAATCATGGTAAGTAATGGGTACAATATTATGTATATAAAATGGTAAAAATCATAATTAAAATGTACATGCATATTTACATTATTATATTATTTATTATATTATTATGGTAACTATTACCTATAAAGTAGAGTCAAATATAAATTATATATTACTTTATATATTTATTATTACTCATTTGGATTTCATTCGTGCCTGAAATGTACTATTTTTTTCAACTTTTTCTTTATTGGAAGTTTGTCATTAATTTTCCTGGTTTCATGAAATAACCTTATTTGAATGTATTTCTGTATGATATTATCAATTAGTATAATATTATGTTGGCTTATTTGACTACAACTTAAACTTTGAAATAAATTATATTCAGTTAGAATGTGTTTGACTTGATTCATCATCAATTGAAATTTTTGTCTCGTTTTTAATATGCATGAAGTGTGATTTTGTCTGAATAAATCTTCTGTAACCTTACATATTGTGACTAAATCTATGTTTGGTTTTTTTAGATGGCCTCTATCTTTGATAATTGCTAAACTATTGCAATGGTAGTTGCTCTGTAACTCCATTATACAAGACTCACAATTCAATTTTTTTTGAAGACTTCGGAGCACAAACCCTGCAATGTATGAACTAACATCTTTAACATATAGAGTCATTGTATTTAAATTAGTTAACTTTGCATTATCTATGTTTGTAATGTTTTCATTTAATTGATTATCTTCATTTATGATTTCCACAGCTGAAGGGTTTTTCAAAGTATTGTCCAGAGCTTGACAATTACCGTACATGGAACTACGTATTTGGTTGTGAACTAATAGTCTTTTGTATGCTGTTTGGAACTGATGACAAGTTGGATTGTCACTATAACCACATCTGCCCCGAATGGCACTAAAAAAAGTTTCAAGGTGGTCTTGACTTAGCTTGTAAGTTAGTAAATAAGACATATCACCCTTTTCATTTAAAATTGTATAATAATCCAAAGCATTTTGTATGCCAAAAATCATTCCAATAAAACCTGTTTTGCGTTGAGAACAAATTACTTTTGTACCATCTTCAAAAGTAAGTGCTTGAACATACGTAGAAAAATTGTTCAAAAAGTCTTTATATTTTTGGTATGTGATTTGACATATGGAACTATTATACGGTTTATTTGATAAATATTTTCTTGAATTTAAAATGTCAAAAGCATTGTTAAAAATTTTACAAAACTCTGCAGTAGCTAAACATCGCATGATAGAAATAACTACATAGTATACATAGATAATATATATTATCTATGATAGTATATATAGTTATACGTACTATATAGTTATTTCTATCATGATATTATCTATGCACCTTCTGAATTTTGATAAGGATATTGTAGCACAGAATTGATTAAATATTTTCTGTGATCGTAGAACCTAGTAAAGAAAAACAATAATTTCAGTGTATTGTGTAAGGTACTTCGCTATATAACAAATACACCAACAATCAACTAAATTACTATACAAGTACAACGAACAATAATTTAACTTTTGATCTTAATCAAGAAAAGTCAAATATCAATCAACATGCTTAAAAATACTGTTCGTTTTTATAGATACCCCTTAATGGTTAGTATACTGATTTAATTGAAAATTCATATTTTATGAATACAAAAACATCAAACTAAATGTTTAGAATAAAAACTATCATTTGTTTTATATTTACAGGGAAATGCTTCTTTGATTGGTGTCAAAAACCTCAGTTATGCCCAAACTGGTGATTCTAAAATATTTGCAGACTCAGAACTAGATTTAATGAGGAGTCGTCTCATATATCAATCTAGAAAAAGGGGAATATTAGAAAATTGTATAATCTTTACATCATTTGCAGACAAATATTTAAAAACATTCAATTGTGAACAGTTGCAAAAGTATGATGCATTGATTAACAGTAAATTTGACGAATGGGACTTATATGCATGGTCAATTGGGTCTAAACCAGCACCAGAAGAATTTAATAATGACATATTGAAGCTTTTGAAAAATCATGTTCTAAAAAGAGAATAATGTAAAGTAGTATAAATATTATATATTATTACCTATTCATTTGATAGTATTTATAATTTGCTGCATAACAAACAAGTAAATTAGTTATGAATTTTGACTAATATCTGATACCCTGTTGTTAAATTAATTTATTGAAACCATTACCTACCAAATAAAGCATACCAAAAATATCATATAATGTAATATTGTAACATTGATTAAATATGCAATAAATATATTTAATCAATGATTGTAATAATGTTATTGTAATACGGTAGTGTAGATACCTAAATAGATTGTTTTGAGGTGGGTATAGGGCAACCGATTTAGTACAATAAACAATTTTGATTAATAATACTTATATAGTTAATCAAAAAAAAAAATGTTAACCAAAAAGTGTGGGTGAGTGATCGATCAACTGTTTGCCTCACGTCTGAAAATTGTTCAACATACTACTTATTATTTAATATTTTTATTTATTACTATTATTATTATTTTATTAATCACTTGTCTTGAAGCGTGCTGCTGTTAACAACAAAAATGTAAATTTTTTTATTATATAGATTATTCTTTACAATTTGTTATTATAATTAATTTTGTTACCTAAATAATTTTTTTTTTTTATTTATTTAAGCTTCGTCAACTGAGGGAGGCCATTAGCTGTAGGTTGTGGTACTGTAGGGTTTTTGGAACTGTAGGGTTATGGAACACGTGTGTGTTTGTTTGTCAGAATTTCTAGTGGGCACCCATAGGTTTCTGCCATGTCTGGTTGGGGGATGGCGGCCTCTCTCTGCGGACACCGTGACTGCCTGGAGAGAAGTGCCGCCCGTGACCAAGGTTAGAACTGGCGACGGTGCGCATTGCAACCGACGCTTTATCCACTCGGCCACTCCGTCCCCCTCCTAAATAATTGTTTCAGTACATTATGCTTAGATCTTAAATTCTTTTTACTAATTGTTTTTATATGTACACTATTTACCTGTGTACTGTACTGTATTATGCACTGTGAAATTAAAAATTTCTCAAATACCATTATGCTGCCTGACATCCATGCCTTAAAGGTTGCTTTAATTTAAATGACTTACTCCCATGCTAGTTCCAAAATGCAAAATTTAGATACATTTTCAGGTGAACATAAACAGATTTATGCAAGTAATATTGTGTATTTTATTCTGTTGCAATAAGTATAGTAAATTTAAAGTTGCCGGTTTATCATGGTTTCAATCCAATCAATATATTTTGGGTTTAGATAAAAAGGTAAAAAAGAGAATAGTAAGCTATCGCCCTGCTGTTGTACTCCTGTTAAGTTAGTAGGTGTTGAGTGTGCCTTTTCATTGAATAAGTCACTGTCATGTATGTGTTCAAAAATTCAATGACAAAGAATGGAGTCGAATACTAAGATATTTTTTAACTAATAATGAGATTAATAACATTTCATGAGATCTTCTTAGCAAAGGAACATTATAACATTGAAGTGTATTAAAAATACTAGTGAACATTTATTATTTTAAGTTCATTTTTAATATTAACTCAGATCATTTGAATTTAAACATGTACTTATTGGACAAGCTTGAGACTTGTTTATTAAATATGTTTCTCTATATGGTATATATATTTATGATTATAGTTATAATTGTAATCTAAATGTCTATTATGTGTTATTATAATTTATACATATTTATTATTTAATAGTTTTGGTTTTCCGCCATAACATTATCACTGTTTATCATTTTAACATTTTGTAAACATTCACCTCTCAGATAAGAAAATTTCAGACATTTATTTGTCGGCTTCATAATAACCTTAGATATATTATATTCCACCGTCATGAGTGTTCTATTTACAATGTTGGTCACAATGTTCTAAAGGTGATTGGATAAAAAAAAAGTTACTGATTAAAGAAAAGAATTAAATATTTTCATTTTTCACGAACATTGTTAATTTGTTATTCGCTTTTTATCTTTTAAATTTTAATTAGTTTCTATAAAAACTATTGATATTTTTTGGACGTTCAATTCGCATAATTAAAATGGCCCACGCGGCTCCTTATAAAACTATAACCGATCCCGAATTAATTCGGAAAAAAAATGAATTACGAAAAGCCGTCGCTCAAGAATATATCAAGCATACATCAAATCCCTACCGAAACATTAAAATGGAAGGTGGAACACTGGTATGCATTCATATAATATTTCTTAAAATGTTATTGATGTTGTATTTCTTTGTTTCTAGTTTGATGTCGGTATTCAAAGATATATGTCGCTGAAAGCAACACAACACGAATTTTTCAGGCCAACACCTAAGACTTCACTTTTAGGTGTACTAATGATTGTAATTCCGTATTTTAGTCTGACTTATTTCATAAAGAAAGAACGTGTATGTATTACTTAAGATATTTAACTATTATTAATTTCAATAAAAATATTTAAACATTTTTTTTCTATAAAAGGACCGTCGAGAAAATTTAATTCGTACTGGAGAAGTATCTTACAAGGATAGAGGATTCAAATTTGCCTAACAAGATTTACATTTATATGAACATGTTTAGTGTTATTTTGGTCACATTACCGTTGTTGTATAGATTTATTAAAATAGAAATGCCTGTAATAAATAATTAACATTAAAATTGGATTTCAACTTCTATTATATATATTTTTTGTTTAATGTCTGTAATGATATTAATGTTAGAAACAGTTCAATTTGAGTTAAATGAAATATATAGAAAAATAACTATAATAATAATTGTTTATTCATTTATTTACTAAATAGGTATGCATGAATTATGAATAAAATGAATTGATTCTCACTGAGGTTTTTTGTTTCACAAGTATGCAAGTAAATTATAAAAATGAAAGGAACTCCTGTCTACTGAAAAGTTCTTTTTGAGTATTCCTCGACGCTCCGGAAAGTGAATCTAGTTGGTGCATTCGGGAGGTTAAAATTTAAAATTTCCAATAGTTTTCAAAAGCAACAGGAAAAACAAATAAAAAATTAAGGGAAAACGGAAATTTTTATGCAAAACTATTTTTCGAAAAAATCGATTTTGGTTTTTAGTGTAACTCTAACAAAAATGACCGTAGATTCATGACATTTTCACTGAATATTTGTGTAAGCATTTTCTATAAACCAGCGGTTCTTAACATTTTGTAGAACACGGACCCCCGATGAAATATTTCTAGAAATCGCGGACCCCCCCTAGGTACTAATTTTTTTTCGAATACCTTTTTTTTACAAAACATATCAAGTTATCATAACCAAAATTAAAATAACTATTTTATATAACAATTTATAGAAGTAGACATAACAAAATACTTAAATACACACATTTATAATTATTTTGATTAAACTTAATTTTTCATTTTAAACTTTAACATCATTAAACACTTAAATTTAAAAAAAATTTTAATATAAATTATTTTATCACGGCCCGCTGCGACAGACAATAAAGATTATAATTATATATGAAACAAAAATAATAATCCAAAAATATTGTAATAATGCACTCATGTCACGTATTAACTTATGTTAGGTGGTAGGGCTGCCGCCGACCCCCGACATGTGTATTGCGGACCCCCAGGGGGCCGGGGATCACAGGTTAAGAACCACTGCTTTTAACCATAACATTTTCAAAATATTTTAATGAGTGTTGAACTATAATATATTATAGACAAATTAAATTTTCGTTTATTATTTGTTTTTTTTAAACCCTAGTCGATAACAACAATTTTTGCTCTGCCAAAAAACTTGAAAATGTAATACAAGGTTCCTCGTAAGCTGCTGTTAATGGAAATTTTAAAAAAAGTTGAGCATGAATCCATATTATTTTTTTATGAATGTGTAAACATAGAATTTTGACAAAATTCGTAAAAATCATGAAAATTAGCAAATTTTATTTAGTTAAAAATTCATAAAAGTTTTTCTTTTTATATCTAAGATTTAAAAATTGAATACAAGATTCCTTACAAGTTTGTCTACTTTTATCAAAAGAAAAATTTCTACCGGAAGGTCAAATTAAATTTTTATGAACGTTTAAAGTTGAAATTTTTACAACCTTGGATATTCACTCGATTTCTCTTGCAGTGATTTTCTTATTTTGTTGTAATTCAAAAACCAATTACCGTAGACATTTGAAATTTATACCAAACGTTTATTTCATCAATTCCATATACTTGATAAAATGTTCAAAGTATTTTGGCTCGTTTGAGACTGATGACGGGCATTTCCATTCTTCTTAATTTTTCATTTTATTCTTCTATAAATGTCAATACAATTTTAATGGTTGGGTCGAAAAGCATGAAAATTTAATTCAAATCTCTTAATAACTTGTTACAATAGCAGTTGAAAAATATTAAAAATACATTTTTTTTTATAAGCATTTAAAGTTCAAATTCTGACAATATTTATCAAGTTGAAAATTGAAAATGATTTTGTAGTTAAAATTCTATAAAATGTTAAATTTTTATAGGTAAGGATTGAAAATGTAAAACAAGTTTCCACTTAAGCAATTTTTTCCATAACTAAGAAATCTAAAAAATATATAAATACAGTTATTTTTTACAGACTAAGTTCAAATTTGGACAAAATTACATATTAACACAAAGAATAACGGTTATCATTTTGTGGTAATTTCGGTTCCAAAACAGACCAATTTTAAGTAGGTATATTTAATATTTTTCAAGCATCACTGATAATTTAAGAATAATATTAATTCAACTTCCGCCTACTATATTAATAATAAGTAATAAGTAACAATATAAAATATCCTAAGCTGACATACAGTCTCCGCTCAGAATCGTTTTTCATATACAATGAATCGATATCATTGAATTCAAATTGAATATAATCCATTACAGCGACCTCTTAGACATTTAATGTATAGCAGAGTAACATCCACTTGTCCGATTTTTTCTAAAATGGTTTCACAGAATTCTAACCATCTATCTTTATTGCCTTCCTCTAACTCTTGAACATTGTTTATTTTAAATGATTAGTATTTTTAGGTTTTCAATGTACGCCAAACACTGCTTGGTAGTATCTAATCTACCTGGAAGTTATCTTAAGTTAGACAACAAGAATTATTTAAAAATCAATAAACAGCTCAAAACAAGTCAAAATATACTTCATGACAAATTCAAACGTTTTCCGAAGGTATTCACTATTCAGATGTTTATCTGACGACTATGACACAGTAAAGTCTGTTGCTACTGGGAACAGTAAGTGTTGTCATTAGATAGGACTATTTTGAGAGAAAATACCAATTCCTTAATATAGAATCGAACCCCAACCCCGTTAAAAATTATATGGTAATGTATTACTAATTCAGATACCGGAAAACGGACCAATTTATGTGAACTACCAGAATTGCAGGTATGGATTTAGGAAAATGTTGAGTCAAAAACTTGTACGGATTTGAGTATACCTAGTCAGTTGTCACTCTTAAATGAATGGCATACACGATGCAGCTATCATAATATATTATTTAATCTCCTTAAACATCAAGTATGAAAATTAATTGTTCAAAACACATTATAAATAAACCTTTGGTTATATTTTATAAACTAAGTTTTTTTTACAATATTTTTACATTTAAAATAAATACAAAAATAAATTAATTTCAAATTTTACATATGATACAAAAAAAATTAAATAAATAAATAAATAAATCCAAAAATAAGGTACAAAAATTATTTTAGAATATTTTCTTCAAGCATTTTGTACTGTAAATTTAAATATGTTTGCCTAATATAATCTGATAATCATGCACTATTCATATTATTATTATACATAAAAGTAATGTATTTATGAATTGTGTGATTTAAAAAATAATCATTTCATTAAGAATTATATTCTATTGAATTATCTAAGATTAATTATTAATGTACATCAGTCAACTGATCAATATTGTTTAACAAATCATAACATAATTGTTGTCGTACATTTAAATAAATTGTATAAAATATCATGCGAGGAATGTATACAAATATTAGTAATCTACATGTATTCTTAATGAAAATATGACGCATTAAAAACGATTAGGAACAATTTGTACATATATTATATATATATATTGAAAACAGAAAAAAATAGTCATTTCTTATTGTCGTAATAATAAAAATTGTAAATTGTTGTTTTTGTTGATAGTATCATTATCTTATTTTTTAAAACAAAATAAATAATGCAATATTTTTATTAAGTTGACTAGAATTATTTAAATCTTAACAAAATACAATTTGAACCCAGTATCGTATTGCGATTACAATGTACTAGGGGGTACACAATTAAATCGGGTCAGTATTTTTTCTACGGTGTAGGGAGTGTGAATGATTTTTTTCATTCAATTAACTTAACAACTACACATTATTTAATAATAAAAATAATAATTAAACCATATAAAACAATTTTAGTTAAAAAAAAACATAAAAAGTTGAGTTATTCAACAATAAGTCTTAATTAAGACTAAACTCATTATTCATCAGTCTTTTAAGCTTACAAAGAGAGCTACCCAATCACATAACTAACTTTGGAAGTCAAATTATAATTGTCATTATAAAAATATCTAAAATATACAATGAATTGAGCGTTTTAACTAACAAAAATTATTAATCAATTTGTTAAAATTAAAATTAAAAACAATACAAATTGAACTATTATATCAGTACCTAGTATTATGATGGCGTTTATGCCTTTTTGGTTGACGATTGTTGTGATGATGTTTTGATGACGATTTATGCACACAAGGTTGTGCGGCTGCGCTCATCATATTACCGTCGAGCTCAAGTTCAAATTTGGCTGTTACTATGCACCTGGTTGGCGCAGAAGTCTGAGTCGATCCTGTAGGTACAGACTGAGTTCGTTGTGGTGCATCAATTTCGGATCCACTGTCTGAACTATAGTCTGACTGGCTTGATGGTGATGGTGATATTGATAATGACTGCTAAACAATAATATGAAATAAATATTATATTACTTCTCAATTTATATATTTTGATGATTTTATTGAGAAAATATGTCTTTATTTCCAAAAAATATGTTGTTAAGTTTAGATAGGTATGTACACAGAAAAATATTTTAGGACTTATAAATCATAACAAATTAAAAGTTGTGATACATGAGTGAAACATTGTTTTAACATTTCGAGGGGGAGATTGAAATAGAGTATAGATAGTAAATTAAACAATTTAATGCAATTCATATATTGTTTAGGAAATGACTTGAAACCGCATTTAATATTATAAACAAAGCCAAAATGATAGTTATCCCCGTAAATGTAAAATATTGTTTGCCAATAAATAATATCATGATGTACAATATTATAGATCATATGAGAATATTTTGATCATAAGAGAATATTTTTGTTATTGTATTATATCACTTATTTTTGAGGAACTTTAATTTTGTTTAGGAATTTTCAAATAATACAAGCCTCCAGCCTAAATTGAATAGTTCCAAAATTGAAGAATTTCAGACAGTGAAAAGGTACACCTAGCTTTCTTGAGTGCAATTATCAGGAAAGGAAGGTTACCATTTTTTGATACATAGGATTTTATATTTTAATACATTATTGATGTTGGGTTATTGAAAATCTACTGGACTTACTTGTGACTTGGTTGTTTCCACATGAGGTATAGATGCAGAATGATAGGAACCA